CCACCACCGCCGCCGCCGCCAGATGAAGCCCATCACCACTGCCGTCATCACCGCCATCGCCACCACCACCATCACCACCACCATCCTCATCGTCGTCACTACTACCAGCAGCCAATGGAAGCGAGCAACCCCGCCTGAATTCTTATTCCTCCAGTAGCGCAGACCTAGCTCCTGGAATTGGAGGGGAGAAACATGAAATTTAGAAGATTGGAGCTTCCAGGTGGGGCGTGGTGGCTCAGCCTGGCATCCCAGCACTTGGGGAGGCCGAGGTGAGAGGATTGCCTGAGCCTGGGGGTTCGAGACCAGCCTGAGTAACTTGGGGAGACCTCGTCCCTACGACAGACCAGAAAGTAAGCCGGGCGTGGTAGCACACGCCTGTAGTTTCGGCTCCTTGGAAGGCTGAAGCGGAAGGATCGCCGGGGCACCAGGTCGGTGCTGGGTGGCCGTGAGCATGCCACTGCCCTCCAGCCTGGGTGACAGAGCGAGACTCCAACTCCACAACAAAAAAGAAGGAGGTCGGAGCTCTAGTCTGAGGCAGACCCGCGGAACACGAGAAGAGCGAGCCAGGAAAGACCCCACAGGAGGGAATGGACACGGGACTCCTCCTTCACAGAAGCCCGTCAGCAGGCCGCCTTCCGCTCCGTGGGTTCCAGGGCCTGAGGCCTCACCCTCCGAAGGCCAGGAGCTGGCTGTCTCCTTCCTGCCTTCCCCGCCTCCCCCGGGACCTCCCCAGCGTGAACTCTCGAGAGCCAGTCACCACCTGTTCGCCATCAGGCTGCCAGCCATTTGCATCCAACTCAGGCAACAGCCCTGAAATGAGGACACTCCACGCGGGTCAGAGGGCAGTTCATTCTCTTTATTTTCCCACAAGCTTCGAATTCAGAAATAAGAGCCACGACAAGTTGGTTGTTAAGTAAAAATGGGAGTGATTACAAAGGAAAACTTTGTACAAAACCTTAAAAATATGACTGCCCCGTCAACCGCCCGGAGGGGCCAGGACTCGGGCCGCCGGGAGCAGCCGTCACCTCCCTCATCGTCAGCCCTGCACGGGGATGGGGAGACCCTTTCTGAGTGCGAACCTGGCTCGGCCCCAAGCCCAGAGCTGGCTGGAAGAACACACACCGACCAGAAAGACAGCACGGTGAGGCACGGGTGCCACAGAGACCGTGGTTTCTGACACAAGACATGAATGACGCTTGTCCGCCACCAAGGGCAAGGCTTCCCCTGCCATCCCGAGAACGCACAGAAGATCTCGGGGGGGGCAGGCTTCTCTCTCGCGTAGACGGGGGTGGGGGCAATGAGAAAACGTCTTGGCTGCAAGCGTTCTGGAACTGCCCCCGAGGGCGCGAGGTCTTGGCATCGTGTCTCCGTCGGTCCTTGGCACTCACAGACTTGCATACGAAATTTAGGAACATGCATCTACTATCCTAGAACAGCTACTACAGGGCGCGGAGGGACCACCACTCGGAGAACCGTGGAGCCGGTGGCGAGAGAAGCGGAAGGGACAGAACAAGACGATGCTACACCCCGCGGGTCACTAGGGAGGGGAAATGAACACGCCATGCTCCGAGGGAGTTCGGCATGGACACCCAACTGTGGGCAGGAAGTTCCAAGCACACACGCCACACGAGCACCACTTCCTCCCAAACAAAACAGGCAGGAACGTCATTCGGTTTCCCCCTCCCTCCATCAGCACCAACTAAACTGTGGGTTTCAAAAACACGGACAGGAAAAGGAACGGACACGACTCCCAGACTCCTTCGCTCCGGCGCGTCCGGCGGCCCCGGTCACCCGAGGCTGGTGATGTTGGAGCGGCCGCCCGGGGGGGCCACGATGCGGTGGCCGGTGCGCCGGGGGTTGTTGTCATCGGTCTGGGCACCTGGAAGAGACAGAGCACAGGTCGTTTCCGGGAGGGAGCCGCTGGCCTCAGCGCCCTCCGCCTGCTGCCCTGGAGGGCTGTGGCCTCCCACCTCGGCGGACGCTGTGTCCCGGTCTTCCCACACTGTGCTTTGCACTCAGCACGCCGACCGGGGCCGCCTCTGGGAAGCCTCCCCGCCCTCCAGGGTCCACTGCTCTCTGTCCTGGGGCCCTCGGTCCCCGCAGCCACCCATCCACAGTCCTGACCGCCGTGTGCCATTCCTGTCCAATTTCCTGGAAGAACCTGACATCTCTGAGACAGGTAAGCAAACGCATACGGCGTGCCTACTGTGTGCAGGCCCAGACTCGATACCCGAACATGTTACTGTGTTTAGAGCAGACAGTGACAGCGCCACGGGGGTGTCTTTGCCTCCCATTTACAGATGAGGAACGTGAGGCTCGGGTCACACGTCTTGGGGCCCGCAAGTGTTGGGCGGAGAAGTCGGGATTCAAGCCCCACATGGTCTGTCTCCAAAGCCCATGCTCTCGCGCAGCGTGTCCCGTGCTCCAAAGGTGTTTTCGTACAGTGTGTGTGCACGTGTGTGTGTGTGTGTGAACTCCTCCAGGACTGGATCTAGCTATCTCACTGGCAGTGGACAGATCCAGGGAGGGAGGGCGTGCAGAGTATTCATGCTTCCAACGTTCAAAGCCAACTGCCCATTCCAAGCTCATACATTCTCTCACAGTGAGAGACAAAAATTGCAGCAGCAAGCTCAGTGCCCGCAGCTCAATAAACACATATTCAATGAACGACTCGTGAAGGGTGAAATGCGGGGAGGGGGGAGAGACCTCAGTCTCTCCCCATGTGGTTTCAGGACTCATCATGCCTCGAAATTGGGCAGTTTGGGAGAGGACAGCCCCGTCCCCTGGCCTCGTCTCCTTCTCTGAAAACAAGTGCAGCAGAAGATGAGCCCGTCTGACTCCCACACGGCATGATGCGTCCACACGAGCCACTAAGAGTTGGGCTCGGAGCACGGACTTTTCTCTCCTCCTGTTGTCTCACTGGGAGACAGACTGTCTTCCCAGGGATTCGAGAATCTCCTGAAGGCCCAGGAGTCAGGAACCAGGCTTAGCATTCGCTCCTAGACATCTGGACCTTGCTGGTTACCTGTCTGTATCTTGAGGATATTTGTTGGACAGAAGGACACGCTGCAGTTTGGATGCCTGTCCCCCAAGATTTCATGCTGAAAGACGATGCCAGAGTTGGAGGTGGGACCGAGTGGGAGGTGTCTGGGTGCGGAACCAGATCCCCCGTGGATGGCTTGGTGTCTTCTTCGTGGTAATAAGTCCTGGCCCAGTTAGCTCCCACGAGAGCTGGTGGTTAGAAAGAGCCCGGCACCTCCACCTGTCTCTTGCTTCCTCTCTCACCGTGTGGTCTCTGCCTACCCCAGCGGCCGTTCCCCCAAGCGTGGGGGCTTCCTGAAGCCTCACCAGGAGCAGATGCCGGCGCCATGCTTCTCGGAGTCTGCAGAACCCTGAGCTAAATAAACCTCTCTTCCAGCTAAATCGCCCGGCTTCAGATGTTCCTTTGTGGCGTTACAAATGGGCTAACATGGACGCGAAGCCATACGACGTCCATGTCACGTTGCACCCCGCGGACGTGTAAGAGGACATCCGTGAAGTTGTCGCCGACACCGCAGAGCAGCCGTGCTGTTGCGAAAGGAGCCACCCGCGGGCCTGCCGTGAAGGCCGAGGGTGGCGCTGGGGGCTTCGGAGAGCGGGTCTGGAAGGGCCAGGGTTGGAGGCCCTTCCAGGAGGCGTTTTGTCCACTGTTGCTCTTGTTCTAAGCAGAGTGCTAAGAAGGACGAGGAGGAGGACTTCCCGTGCAATGTTTCATTGCGTTCCTGGAGAACAGAGGTTCAGCGGCAAGCGGCTTGAGAGGTGGTGTGCTCCCCCCGCGTGGCTCATCCCAGCCTCGAAGACAGGCCCTATCTTGTGGATCGAGCATCAGATGGGATACTCAAGTTGTGTTCAGTGTCCACTCTGTGCAAAAATACCAGTTACCCTTGAACACCGGACGCTCTTCCGTGAAGGGTTCCTGGAAGGAGACCCCGATCCGTGCCCCTTCTGCAAAGTCACTGAGCCACCCACGCCCAAGGGATATAGGCTCTGCCACCCTCACCACTCCAGTGGACGTTTCTCCTTCATCACACTCTCTCTCTCTCTCTCTGCCTTTTCCACGCAATTTTCCGCTACCTGCATCGCCTTTTTGACCCAGAGCTGGCCAACTGTGGGCCGTCGATCCTGTGCGGGCCATCACCTGTTTTTGCGCCATTCGTGACCTGGGAATCGTTTTTACATTTTTTAATGGTTGCACACGAAAGTTTTTTGTTTGTTTATTTGCTTGTTTGTGTTTAGAAAGCAGGATGGATCGAGAGGACAGAAAAGCTCCCACGGTGAGAGGGGACCCGAAGGGGTTACCCCCACACGAAGGTTTAACATGACACAGCATCCCAGATTTTGCTTCTTGGCTCACAAAGCCTGAAGCATTTGTTATCTGGCCCTTCAAGGAAAGGTTGGCCAGGCGGGGTGCAGTGGCTCGTGCCAGCAATCCCAACAATTCGGGAGGCTGAGGTGGGAGGATCGCTTGAGGCCAGGAGCTCGGGACCAGCCTGGGCAACACAGCAAGACCTCCTCTTCACACAGAAACAAACAGTCAGCCGGGCCGAGCGACACACCTGCAGTCCCAGCTCCGTGGGAGCCTGAGGAGGGACGAATGCTCGAGCCCAGGAGTTTGAGAACGCAGCGAGCTATGATTGCTCCACCGCACTCCGGCCTGAACGACAGATCAACAGTGGTTCAGTCTCTCTCACACACACACACACACACACACACAGACAAGGAAAAAAGGAATCAAGCTTGCTGATTCCCAGGCTAGACTGAGACGAGACCCACCTCCATGTCGTAGTTGTCACTGTATTCCCAGAACCCAGCACACACTGAAAGTGTCAATTCAGTGTTCTCAACGTGCGCGTGCCTGCCCTCACGTGGGCCAGGTGGTGACATCGCAGCCACACGCCCGGGACCTTAAGCCGGTCTGAGAGGGCGTGTCTATATCTGACTTTGTTCACACACTGGGTGAGCACCCAGTCCTGGTACTTTGACATTGAGTTGTTTTTTGGGGTGGGGGACTCGGGCCTCAGTTTCGTCTTTTAGAAACAGGAATAGCACCACTCCACACACAGGCTTGTTGTGTGGACAAAATACAATCACGGGTCACGGAAGTGCCGGGTCAGGAGGTGGACACCGGCAGGCTGAGGACGCAGAGCACACGCCGGCACTGGGAGCCCGCTCCTGTCTCGTGTCCGCCCGCCCCCCCACGCTTGCCTCCACGGCGTGAGAACCTCGCTGAGCGCGTGGAAGGATGAGCCCGGGGCCAGTCGGGTGCAAACTTGTTGGCAACCAAGGTCCGGTATCACCACGCTGCCCCCCACACGGAC